GTTCTAAAGCCCTCGTTACCCCAGATTCAACTTGTTTTGTAAAGTTTCATTTTCAGTCATTCCTCAGATTCTGTTACCTATTCATCTCCTAGCACAATCAAAACTTCTCTCTGTCCTCCCTCTCAGTCCTCTCTTCCCCTTCTTCCTTTTCCCTCTCATCCTCCTTCCTTTCTCCTCTCTTCCTGCCTTCCCCTCCCACTTTTCTCCCTCCACTTGCCAGTACCAGGTTTCGAACTCAGGGTCTTGCACTTGCTCTGCTTACTTGCTTGGCTGTCACTCTACTAGAGCCACAATTCCAGGCTGACTTTTTGCTGGTTGTTTTGAATATGGAGTCTCTCAAACATTTCTATCTGCAATGACTTTGAACAATGATCCGCCATATCTCAGCCTCCTAAGGCTTACATAAGGTATCTGACTGTTTTCTTTTTATGTGTGTGCCTGTTCTGGGGCTTAAACTCAAAGCCTGAGTACTGTCCTTGAGCTTTTTTGGGTTTTGCTCAAGACTAGTGATCTACCACTTGAGCCACAACTCCACTTATGGCTTTTTTTGGTGTTCAACTGGTGACAAAGTGTCACAAACTTTCCTTCCCAGGCTGGCTCTGAACCATGATGCTCAGATCTCAGCCTCCTGAGCCAGGAATATAGGTGTGAATCACCAGCACCCTGCTGTGTTTTCCTTTTAAAGGTGAGAAACACATACATACACAAACTCTTTTTTTCTCTCTCAGTCTCTCTAGCGCCCCCCCTCCTTCTTTACCTTTTCCTTCTCCTTTCCCCATCCATCCCATATATATATTACACACACACACACATACACACACACGTTGTTGTTTTTTTAATTTGGCCTGGGCACACTGCCTGAGCGTCTTTTGCTCAAGGCTAGTGCTTTACCACTTGAGCTACAGCACCACTTCTGGCTTGTTCTGTGATAAATTGAAGACAAGAGTCTTTCCTGCCTAGGCTGGTTTCAAACCTCAATCCTCAGATCTCAGACTCCTGAGTAGCTAGGATTATAGGCATGAGCCGCTGGCATTCAATCCATCCTCTTTATTTTTAACTTAAAATATATATTCTAAGAGTATAGTCAGTCTAACTTAATGACATACAGCCAACGTCCAGTTTTAATGAAGTTCAGCTTCTTTATTAAATAAACCATAATTATTATCCACAGTATTCATTATCCTTTTTTTAAGTGAACCAAGAACTTGAAAACCATATCCTATAGATTTGTAATTTTCCCCAACCATATGAATTACCTAAATTACCTAAGTGCAATAACAAGTATATTTGGTTTGCTTATCAACACAAACAACTTAAAGTATAATCAAACTGGTGAGAAAAGTATAGGGATACATCACGGGGAGCAATTACCAGGCATTCATTATGCCTTGCCCATGAGTCAGTAAATTCTATAGAACAGGAGGATGACAGTTACTCCAATGGGACAATTTAAATGGTGATTCAAAGAGTTTCTACACACTTTAAGATAGTCCTTCATGAAATGTGTAATTGCTTCAAATGAACTGACCTAAGCCATAGCTCCAAATTTGGTAAGGAAAATACTACATAGTATATAGCCCAATATCCAGGCTTGTTCTTGCCTATTAAAAAGAGGCTCTACTCCTGGACATGAACCTGATTTTACCTATGGACCCCAAGTTGTCCATACCTTCACACTGATTGATTTCAGAGCAAAATAATAGAAATTTCATAAATTTATGATTTTATGAAATCCTGACTCAATCAGAACCTTAGCTCAGGCTCAAGATCACTTTGTAGTTCCTCCCTTAAACCTGTCCCCACAGACTTAATCCATCAGCTTCTCTTAGTCATCCTGACTTTCTGATTGGAATTATAAACATGTACTCAATGTGCCCTACAACACCTATAACTGTAATATCTTTTCCTTTTATTGCCTCACTTGATTTTTGGTAAATCACACTGTCTTTTGAGTATAAGTAAAATCTTTCTGATTGCTAACTGCTTGCATCTATGTATAGTTAAGTTCCTATAACGTCATACTTCCCCAGATCCTACACATTTCTTTTGTAGGTTAACTTCTCAATCCATACACAAACTGTTCTACTTTGGCTAGAGATTCACAGTCCTATCAGCTGTTCAGCTAAAATCCATAGCCACTCCTAGTTGCTATGATCAGTACAAAAATGAAATGAATACAGTAAAATGAAAAAGGAAACAGTTTCACAGCACTAAATGGGGAATATATGTTCTTTTTTTTTTTAATTTTTTTTATTGTGAAAATACTGTACAGAGGGGTTACAATTACATGGGCAAGATAATGAGTACATTTCTTATCAAGCATTGTAGCCTCCTCCTTTGTTTCCCCCTCCCATCCCATCCTCCCCCAACCGTCCCACCCAACCCTCCTCCCCCCTACCACCAAAGTTGTAAAGTTCGTTTTCAACATAACGACTTGTACATCTCGTTGCAATGGGTTCTTTACATGCTTCTGCTATACCTTAAACATTTTGGAAATGTTTTGATAACAACTGAAACAAAAAGATTTTCTAGCTGGGTGCCAGATTATAGGCTCATGCCTATAATCCTAGCTACCCTAGAGGCTGAGATCTGAGGGTGGAGGTTCAAAGCCAGCCCCCAGGCAGGAAAAGTCCATGAGATTCTTTTTTTTTTTTTTTTTGGGGGGGGGGGCGGTGGGCCTGAACCCTGGGCCTGGGCACTGTCCTTCAGCTCTTCGGCTCAAGGCTAGCACTCTACCACTGGAGCCACAGTGCCACTTCCGGCTTTTTTTTTCTGCTTATGTGGTGCTGAAGAATCAAACCCAGGGCCTCATGCATGCAAGGCAAGCAAGCACTCTACCATTGAGCCACCTTCCCAGCCCTCCGTAAGACTCTTATCTCCAATTAACCACCAGAAAATGGGAAGTAGCACTGGGGCTCAAGTGGTAGAGAGCTCATCTTGAAGAGAAGAGCTAAGGAACAATGCCCAGGCCCAGAGTCCAAGTCCCATGACAGACAAAAAAAAATTTTTCTGCACTTTCTCAAAAAGGAATTTTTTTTTTTAATTGGAATGCTCATTCCCAAGAATTTGAATTTTCTAAAAATTTACCATAAAGAAGAGCCATCTAGGGAATAATCAATTTTACTATGATATCTTAATAATAAAGTTGGCTACAAGTTTGAGAGAGTTTTTTTAAAAGACCATTTGATCCTCAAAGTTTCACCTAATACCACAGTCTACATTTGTGAAATTTCCAAACCTTCACTTCAAGGTAAGTCATTATGGCAAGTTAAAAAAAAAAAAAAAAAAAAACCTAGCTGGGTGCTAGTGGATCACACTTGTAATCCTAGCTACTCACAAGGCTGAGATATGAGGATTGTGGTTCAGACTCAGCCTGGGCAGGAAAATCCATGAGCCTCTGATCTCCAATAAACCACCAGAAAACCAGAAGTGGTGCTGTGGCTCAAGTGGTAGGAGCATTCACCTTGAGCTGAAGACCTGAGGGACAGCACCCAGGCTCAGAGTTCAAGCCCCAGGACCCACAAAAAAAAAAAAAAACTTAATAAACATTGAATCTTTAAGTCAACGTATAATAACTTCCAAACCTTTTAACATCTCTGAAATTTTATTTAAGAAAACAGAAAAGCTGGAAGTGGCACTGTAGCTCAAGTGGTAGAGCACTCGCCTTGACTTGAAGAGCTGAGGGACAACGCCCAGGTCCAGAGTTCAAGCCCCACGACCGAAAAAAAAAAAAAAAAAAACTATAAAGAAAACAGAAAAGCTACCATCAAGGTGGTACAGATCTGTAATCCTAGCACTTAGGAGGCTGAGTCAGGAAAATCTCCAATTCCAGATCAGAAAGATCTTGTCTCCAAAAAAAAAAGCAAATAGCTATTAAAAAGATAGCACAAAGCAAAAAAGCAAATAGCTTTTAAAAAGACAGCCCAAAGTAGGTACACAGTAGCTTATATCTATAATCTATAATCCTAGCTATTGAGAAGGCTATCTAAGGATTGTGGTTCAAAGCCAGCACAGGCAGGAAAGTCTATGAGACTCTTATCTTCAATTAGCTACCAAAAAAAAAAAAGCCAGAAGGAGCTGTGGCTCAAATGGTAGAACACTAGCCTTGAGCAAAAAAGCTGAGAGTGACTGCCCAGGCCCTGAGTTCAAGCCCCAGAACCAGCACAAAATAAAGACCGCCCAAGATATCAAAGAAGAAATGGGGTGGGGTGGGGGGTGGGGAGAAGGAAGGGAAGGGAAGGGGAGAGGGGAGGGGTTCATCTTGATTCCAGAAAGCCAAGTCAACTACTTCAAAGTATTTCTAACCTATCGTAGTTACAGAAGCATAAATGATAATAAACATGTCTTTAGTTACTACAGATAAAGTTATTGGAAAACCTACAAAAACGTTATCTTTCACTTTAACTATTACCTACATACATATGACACATACAGATACAGCCTACCTTCCTAGCTAAAAAGTGTTAACTCTACTAATGTTTTTCCCAAGACAAAATATTACTTCAGAATATTCTTGCCAGGCGCTGGTGGCTCATATCTAGCTACTCAGGAGGCTGAGACCTTAGGATTGATGTTCAAAGCCAGCCTAGGCAGGGAAATCCATGAGACTCTTATCTCCAATTAACCACCAGAAAACTGGAAGTGGCACTGTGGCTCAAAATGGTAGAGTGCTAGCCTTGAGCACAAAGAGATCAGGGATAACACACAGGCCCTGCCTGAGTTCAAGCTCCACAACCAACCAAAAAAAAAAAAAAACAGAAAAGAAAAAAGTACTCTTCACAACCCAGTACCAGCACAAAAAATATAAACAAATAAATAAGAATATTCTTTATTTAAGTATGCCTTCACTTGGACAAATGTGATTCAAGCTAAAGAAAGTAATTCAATATACATCAGCTAAGGCAACAAAACCTGTTAGATTTTTATTGAGACACTTTCCTAAGCTCAAAAAGATAAAAGAACATGGTCTCACAAGCTAACACATCAAATTAAAAACATACCAATTTCTTCTACTTCTTCTAGGAAATCATTATATTCTCTTAGATTAGGAAAGTCTTCTTCTCTTTTATTGTATCTTAAAGAAAAGAAAAATATCAACATTACATACTGCACTTAATACTGGTTTGCTTACCCTTACCAAATTCATACATGAGATATAGAAAAGGACTGCTTATTGTATAAACTATAGTTTTCTTGATTCCATTTACAACCTAAACAAGCATGCCAAATTTTGGTATGTGGAGGTGGAAGAGACTGTGTCGGTACTGCTTTGTTTTCACAGTGCTGGGATTGAACTCAGCAATAACAGACAAGTCTTCTGCCACAGAGCTATGTTCCCAGCCCTAAGAATGCTGTTCTTAAAACTCTTACTATTAAAGAAGAGAAATTGAATCGGAAGAGACTAACACAATTTAAAATAATTTTTTAAAATGCTTGTATTTGTGCCTGTGGCTCATGCATTGTAATCCAATACTCAGGAAGATGAAAGTGGTTCACAGCCAGGTGGGACAGAGAAATCAGTGAGACTTTTATCTTAAATTAACAACTACAAAGCCATAAATGAAGCTGTTATTCAACTGGTAAAGCTCTAGCCAAGAGCACAAAAACTCAGGCAAAGTTCCCAGGCCAAGTTCAAGCCCCAGAACCAGCGCGTGCGCAAGTGCACGCGCGCGCGCGCACACACACGCGCACGCACACACACACACACACACACACACACACACACAATGTTTGTAAGACTTAAAGAGAAATAAGAAAATTAGGAGCTTGTGAGATTAGTAAACAAGTGTATCACTGAAAATTATTTGCTTCTTAGAGATTCCTTTATTTGCAGAAAACCAAAAACTAACTGAAGAAGATTTCACTTTTCATGACAGGTCACAGCCTAAAAATGCTAGATCACAAAAAATCTTGAGTATTGTATCTATGAAAAATTAGAAACCTACAAGAGATTGATAATGAAAAATCAGAATCTGAGAGACTATCTTATAGAAGTAATAAAAGCAGGCCGAGGCACTGATAAAGTATTATTGGTTAGGTATCTAGAAAAATTACTATAACATAGTGATCTGGATTGAAATTTACACTACTAAAAGTAAGAACTTTAGCAATGCTTAGTAGGATGGAGGCGTTGAGTTCAATCTCTGCCACAAAAACACACATAAAAAAATGTATTCCTCTAATTTCACAATAGTAAAGTACCTTATAATAAAAAGACAAAAACTGAGCCACTAGCCAGGCACTGGTGGCTCACGCCTGTAATCCTAGCTACTCAAGAGACTGAGATCTGAGGATCGCAGTTCAAAACCAGCTAGGGCAGAAAAGTTCCCATAAGACTCTTATCTCCAATAAACAACTCAAAAAAGCCAGAAGTGGTGCTGTCACTCGAGTGGTAGAGTGCTAGCCTTGAGCACAAAGAGGCTCAAGGATAGCACACAGTGCCTGAGTTCAAGCACCAGGACTGGCAAACAAAAAAAAACAAAAAAAAAAAAAAAAAAAACAAAACAAAGTGAACCATGAAACTACTAACAAAAATTAAAATATACACATACATACTAAAAGAAATGAAAACTAACATGAGTTTCTCCAACAGGCTTCAAACCGCAACTTAAATGTTATCTCTGTAGAACTTACTACGTTTTTGTTTTGTTTCCCCATTTTATTTTCTATCTCTTTGCTATCCCATGTTACTATACTATAAACTTTATGAGGGCAGGGCTCATATTTATCATGTTTATTTATCTTAACACAAGTAACACTGTTTGCAAATAGAGGGCATTTAATAGATTCATTGAAGAATGAATAGCAAATAAAGACAAATTTGAAGCCATCAAACTAACAATGCAATCTTCTTTATCAAAATTATATAAGCAATATTAATCAGCTCTCTAAAAACTTTTAATCAATTTTTATGAAACAAATACACAGATGAAGTTATGGCTATTCACTTCTCAATCTGTCCACACTTACATCAGCAATTAAGGGTATCAATTATTGAAATAACTATTGTCTTATTTTAGTGGCTGACCATCCAGATAATAATACTTACATCTTTAATACTTTTTTCCGAATCTCAACCTCCTTGTCAACAGTTGGGTCTTCAAAGAGCTGTACTCTGAAATTGCTCTTTCTCAGGGGAGTACCACACTCAGGACAGTTTCCAGCTCCTCTAACAAACAGTAAGTCCACACAACTTTCACAACTACAAGGGAAGAAGTAAAACACAATATTTAACTTAGTATTCAAATCCCCAATCCTAAATAGTTTTCCCTTTGGGAAAGACTAGGAAATCATTGTACTATCCATTGTATCTCAAAGCTTACCCAAAAATCCTTTTGGAAAATGTCCATTTTTATTTCAATAGATATTCTAAAAGATAACAATTTAGTTATACAAATTAAACAAAACTGCAAATTAAAATGAATTGAGTGTGGCACCAAGTACATTTAGAAAAGCAAAATATGGGAAAATCAGTAAGGTAAAAACACTTCTCTGTACTTCACTTCCATCCCAGTTCAGTACAGATTATCCTTAATTCAAAAATGTAAAGGTGAGCCCAGTGCTGGTAGCTCATGTCTGAAATCCTAGCTAAAACTGGAGACTAAGATTTCAGGTTTGAGGTTTGAAATCAGTCCATGTAAAAAAAATTCCACAAGAGGGGACTGGGAAGGTGGCTCAGTGGTAGAGCACTTGCCTTGCATGCCTGAGGCCCTGGGTTCGATCCCTCAGCACCACATAAGCAAAAAGAAAAAAGCCAGAAGTGGCGCTGTGGCTCAAGTGGTAGAGTGCTAGTCTTGAGCTGAAGAGCTGAGGAACAGCGCCCAGGCCCAGAGTTCAGGCCCCACAACCAGACCCCCCCCCCTAAAAAAAAAATTAAAAATTTTTTTTTAAAATTCCACAAGAGTTCATCTCCAATAAATAACCAGCAAAAAGCCAGGCTGGAGTCACAGACAAATGGTAAAGAGCCCATATGTAAGTGAGCCAAACAAACAGAAGGTCCTGAAATCCAAGTCCAATACCGTCAAGAAAGAGTTTTAAAAATAATGAGTCCCATGTAATTGTAACCCCTCTGTACGGTATTTTCAGAATAAAAAATAAAAATAAATAATAAGTATTCAACCTGCTACTTCATCAGGTAGTTTCTTCAACATTTAATCTAAGCAGCTACATAGCTAGTTGAGTCAAGAGTGTACCAGGTGCCCTGCCAAATGCAAAACGGTATATCAACAAGATCCTCAAATGTTCATGTGTGCAAGACTATATACATTCTTAGAAACAAAGTGAAAGAGAATCACTTGAATTTGAACAAACAATCACAGTATGAAACTGTAGAAGATACACCATTACAAAAAGTACACAGGCAGATTGTGAGCACAAACCTCTCCCTACCTCAACAGTAAATTCCAGAAGACCCATCAAGAGAAAGTAGAGAGCAGGACACTCTACTCAGGAGACTAAGATCTGAGGATCACAGTTCAAAGCCAGCCTGGCAGAAAAGTCTATGAGACTCTTATCTCCATAACCACCAGAAAATCAGAAGTGGCACTATGGCTCAAAGTGGCAGAGCGCTAGCCTTGAGAGAAAAAGCTCAGAGAGGGCTGGGAAGTGGCTTGGTGGCAGAGTACTTGCCTAGCCCTGGGTTCAATTCCTCATAAGCATAAATAGAAAAAACCAGAAGTGGCCCTTTGGCTCAAGTGGTAGAATGGTAGTCTTGAGCAAAAGAAGCTTAGATAGAGACAGAGCCGAGGCCTTTAGTTCAAGCCCAGGACTGGCAAAAAAGAAAAAGAAAAAGCTCAGGGACAGCACCTAAACTCTGAATTCAAGCCCCATGACACACCAGAGAGAGAGAGAGAGAGAGAGAGAAACTCCAGTTCTTTTATGATAATGTTTAACTCAAGTTGAAATGGTACTAAAAATGTAATATCATTTGAAAGAAAAATACATTGATATTTGTTCAACTTTTATTAGCATTTTCAACTAATGCCCAATAGATACTCAGGAACAGGAGTTTTAAGCCCTATCTTTGGATTACTCCAAAAATCTAAGTCACATTTCAAGTTTTATTTTTTCTGAATAGTAGTAACAATTATTTTAATTATATTAACGTAAAAAAAATTTTAATCTCTACCAAATGGACATCCAATAATCAACTTGCTTTTTTAACTTTTTGTTTTGAGACAAGGTCTCACTATATTGTACAGTCTGGATCCTTTTCTCTCTGCATCCCTATACCATCATACTCTGTCACTGAGTTACTATATATTATATATATTAAAAGAACTTAAAATCCTAAGTTATTTAGGAGGCAAATATCTGAAGATGTGCAGTTCAAAGCCAGCTAAAGCAGGAAAGTCCATGAGTCTCCAATTAACCACCAAAAAAAGCCAGAAGTGGAGCGATGACTCAAGTGGTAGAGCACAAGCCTTGAGCAAAAACCTAAGGGCTCGCACACTGGCTCTGAATTCAAGCCTCAGTACTGGCACAAAAACAAAAACAGGGCTGGGAAGGTGGCTCAGTGGTAGAGTGCTTGCCTTGCATGCATGAGGCCCTGGGTTCGATTCCTCAGCACCACATAAGCAAAAAGAAAAAATG